AACAAAAAAAAAAAAAAGAAAAAAAAAGCCTAAAGATACATACTCTAATTACAATCCAATTTCCTATCATTAAAGATAATATAGTCTATTGAGCATAAATATTCTTCAATACCAATCTGTTAAATCGTATCTTTTACTCCTGATCTATTCGGGCCATTTATTTGATGGATCAGTTATCATATCTGTAAATCAAACAAACGGCGGGTGACCCGAGGGTTATATATATATATATAAATCCCGTAAAAAATACCGATAATTTTGTCTAATCTAGATCGATCCAGTTTCATTCAAATCATTGATATCATCGCGATAATCGAACTATTGTTGGCTTTTATCATTCCTTCGTTACTATCATATAATATGAAATTTCCGCGTCTTTCATATCATTTTACTGATAATAAAAAATTTTATCTAATTTAGATCGATTCAAATCATTAATCTTATCGTAACAATTGAGCTATACTAGCTTTCTATCATTCCTTCGTTACTATTATATAATATGATATCTTTCCATCTTATACATTATCGATTCAAATCATTAATCTTATCGTAACAATTGAGCTATACTAGCTTTCTATCATTCCTTCGTTACTATTATATAATATATCTTTCCATCTTATACATTATTTTATTGATAATGATTCAATTTTAACAATTTCATGACATAACTAATTTATCAAATCTTTTACTACATTTTCTTTTATTATTTCCTACCTTAACTATATTTCCTTCTATTATTCTCATATATTTCCTTTTATTATACCTAAACAACTATCGTATTCTAATTTTACTCATACAGTATACTTCCAACCTTAAACAAACTTTAGATATCATCATTTTCCTCTCTCCCTCTCTCTCTCTCTCTCTTTCCATCATATTCGTCATCTTAATGATATCTTACTATCCTACTAAACTAATATACAATTACAATAATTCATATCGTATCGATTTATTCAATAATTCCATACGGTAATATTAATAAAAGACAAAAATGATCTGAAATATGTATATATTTTAAAGAATGAAATCAATAAATGATGATGAAATATCGAGAAAACGAATCAATCAGTTTGTTGAAAGTGCTGAGTAACATACACTATCAATCTCTTTCTCTACTCTTTACCTCCTCTTCTCTCATTGTACATTCATCTCTCTATATGTGTGTGTGTGTGTGTGTGTGTGCATGTCTGTCTATCTGGTCTGTCTGCTTGTCTGTCTATCTGTCTTGCATATGGTCGTATGTCTAGTGATTGTCATCCAAAGTATACACACATACACACACACACGCATACCATCTAGCAACCATTTGCGCTCAATATTAACCAGTCATTTAGGAATAATGTATATTTTGTCACAGATATAAGACATAAAGGATGAGGGTAGGATAGGATGGGAGGCAGGAGGGGGGGGGAGGATGGGTAGGAGAAAGATAGACAATGGTATAGGGCAATAAAAATGTGATAAATTAAAGATATGGGTAAGTTTTGTTTATATGAATGAGGGTAAAATTTTTTGGGGATAAAGAATGATGTGGGAAGTGGGGAAAGTTCGGGAAAGATTGAATAGGGAGAGGTTGAATATGCGGGGTATAAATTAAGGTTAATTTAATGATTACTATATGTGGTTAAAATTGATGTCCCCTTCTTAATGCTACTATTAATATAATATGGGTACTTCAATGTAATCTTATCAATTCAATTCCGGATACTGTAATGTATGAATGCATATTAGCTTCCTATTTGTTACCTATCACCTATTGATATTATAACTTGATGATCTTTAGGGTAAGTATTTCAGGTTCAATGATCCATTAGAAATTTAGTTACAAATGGTCCCTCATTTAGTAATGATAGTGGTAGTGAATGGTAGTGGTAGTTAGCAGTTGTTGTTGTTGTTGTTGTTGTTGTTGTTGTTGTTATTGTTGTTGTTGTAGTTGTAGAGAAAGGATGAGTGGAATGGGTAAAAGCAGACAGCCATCCTCCTCCCACTCCTATGGGTCAATCCGAGGAGTAGTTAGTAGTGGTAGTAGTAGTAGGTTTGATGTTAAGTGAACCGGACCGATCGAACTTAAACAAGCATTCATTCCACCTCTTTCTTCCTAACTGTCGGAAAGGGAAGCACACCGACATACATACACACACGCACGCGCACACATATACACATACACATACACAGACATATAGTGTGTTATCATCTGTCTAGCCGATATATTTGATGAGACATTAAAACTGTCGCCTGATTTTGTGAGGGGGTTGTCACCTGTGAACGTATAGAAATACGGAAGAGTTCTTGCGTACATCCTAACAATATGTTCAGAAGCAGTTCAGGATCAAAAAACAGAAAATAGGTGAATTTATAATAATTAGATTTAAAATAGAGAGAGAGAGAGAGAGAGAGGAGGAGAGTA